TTTTGCATTATGCGGTTTTTTTTCACTACTTCACCCTTATTAATGGATCTTTCTGTGGATGGATCTTCACCAAATTTGTTTTGGAGGTTCATTGGGTCCGTGGGAAGATGCATAAAAATGTTCCTTTTTGCATTATGCGGTTTTTTTTCACTACTTCACCCTTATTGATGGATCTTACTGTGGATGGATCTTCACCAAATTTGTTTTGAGGGTTCATTGGGTCCATGGGAAGATGCATAAAAATGTTCCTTTTTGCATTGTGCGGGTTTTTTTCACTACTTCACCCTTATTGATGGATCTTACTGTGGATGGATCTTCACCAAATTTGTTTTGAGGGTTCATTGGGTCCATGGGAAGATGCATAAAAATGTTCCTTTTTGCATTGTGCGGTTTTTTATCACTACTTCCCCCTTATTGATGGATCTTCACTATATTTGGCATCATAGTTTGTTGGGTCCATGCTGAGATACCTGCAAGCTTGCGGTTTCACATTTTGTGTTTTACAGTTTTTATGGGTATTTTTTGCGTTTTTTACAATTACATATAAGGGAAGCAACTTTTCATGTCTTAAGATAACCTTTCATTAATCATGAATTTACATAACTTCCGTCCAGGGGACTGGTATTTCAGCTACTACAAAATAAAAATACTTACAACAGTAAATCTGTTTACGACCACTAAAGTCGAAAAACTTCAATACTTAAAGCCATGGGCGGAAACCTACCGTTGTGATTAAATAATAAAGATCTTGTTGAACGACTACCATTCTCCAATACTTGGAATTCATCTATGTAATGGATATTAGCCACTCAAAAAGTTTCAAACTTCAAGGGATCATTTCAAAATATATCCCATAATGCCTTAAATGAACAGCACGTTTTTCAACCTTGTGTCCTGTCTTCAAAAAGGTTAGTTTTCTAAAAATGAGAGCTTGGTTGATCCGTATATATAAGAGTTGCTATGATTATAATACCAGAAAATGTAGAAAACTTGTTTATGGAATTTCGTGCAGTTTCGCGCGAAGCTTCTCGAGCGTTATCCGCACTAACCAGCCCTAATTTCGAAATGATAAACTAGAGATAAGGCAGCTAGTCAACAGTCCTTCGCCAACCCTTGGACTGCTCTTTCCCTAACGAAAACTAGGATTGACCATTACATTATAAAGTTCTCACGACTGAAAGAACGAGCATGTTTCGTGACGGTTTTCAAACCCGCGACCCCGGAGGTTGCAAGTCGAACACTTTAACTAACAGACCATAACGGGCCACGAAGAAGGCCTGAAACAAAAAAATAAGATTAGAAAACATGGTCGTATTATATTAGGAAATCATTTTTAAAAACTTAGTTTTTAACTCTAAAATATTTGGGTTTATAAGTAAAAAACATTAAAAAAAACAAGAAACTGAAGGCAAAAATTTAGTTTTGGTATGTGTAAATAAAAACATTTGAAAGGCGTTTGTAACAAGTGATGTAGAAACTTCTTTTTTTTAAAAAGAATTTTCAGATATCATTTGCACATGAAAGCTATTGTTACTTAGCAACTAGAGATACTATACAACATATATGTTTGTTTTTCAAATTTTTGACGAATAGAAATTTAGAATCTCTAAATGAAAATTTTGGTATTTCTTTGGTCATCCGTAGCTGAATCCTAGAAGTCCCTGATTGGCGATTTGACGACCGTAACTGAACTCTAGAAGTCTCTTATTGGCCATTTGACGACCTAAAATGAATCCTAGAAGCCTCTTATTGGCCATATGACGATCTAAAATGAATACTAGAAGTCCCTGATTGGCCATTTGACGACTGTAACTGAATCCTAGAAGTCTCTTATTGGCCATTTGACGACCTAAGCTGAATCCTAGAAGTCTTTAATTGGCTATTTGACGACCGTAACTGTATCCTAGAAGTTTATGATTGGCCATTTGACGACCGTAACTGAATTCTAGACATCTCTTATTGGCCATTTGACGACTGTAGCTGAATTCTAGAAATCTCTTATTGGCCATTTGACGACTGTAGCTGAATTCTAGAAATCTCTGATTGGCCATTTGACGACCTAAGCTGAATCCTAGTAGTCTCTTATTGGCCATTTGACGACTTAAGCTGAATCCTAGAAGTCTTTAACTTGCTATTTGACGACCGTAACTGTATCTTAGAAGTTTCTGATTGGCTATTTGACGACCGTAGCTAAATTCTAGAAATCTCTGATTGGCCATTTCACGACCTAAGATGAATCATAGAAATCTCTGATTGGCCATTTGACGACCGTAAGTGGATCCCAGAAGTCTCTGATTAGCCATTTAGCGCAACCGTACAGGTTGAAAATTTCATTCCAGTTCCATTCTTCTTCTTTTTTCTTTTGTAAATAGAAATGTGTTAAGGTGACCAATCTCCAACAGTAAGTGAAAGATTGTTTTTTTTTACTGAAATCAAGCTAGTCAGAAAAAAAAGTAAATAATAAATATATTTTTTCGCTTCAACTATTTGATGTATAAAGAAGTAACAGTGACCAATTGGTCGGTCGGGTGTTAGCTTCCAATGGATAAGCTATAGTTCTCTGTAAAGAAATCTCATCACACACTTACATCTCAACTTAATAAGCTGACAAACCTCTCGGTAACGTTATTACATCCTGCGTGGTTGGATGTTGAGAACGATAAAACGTGCTTAAATGTTAAGAACAAGACGCTATATAAGGTAAAAATACTAGGTATGTAACTTACAGCGTCTACATCGA